TTTTTTTTTTTTTTTTTTGGTTAAAGTACAATATAGCTATCTCAAACAGACTTCTATTTCCTTTTGTTGCTAAAATATACATCCGGCCCTCTTAGTGAAGCGTTTCTAAAAGGCCTTTTTAAAACCTGTTATTCACATTAGAATCTGTGTTGTTACTAAGGAGTTGAGCCTTCGTCAACTCTGTCTTCAGCAGCCTCATGACCAAAGTTTGGAAACTAGCCTCAGTTTCCTAACTGCTCTCCATGAGGTCTAAGAAAGGAAAGTGACTGCCACTGTCAGAGGGACCTGCTGCTATTTCAGGCCTCCTGTTGAGGATGCGGCCGGATAGATATTGTTTATAGTTCATAAAACCTGACTACTGTGAGGATTCCAGAACCCTGGCAGAATGGGATTTGAACTTTCATGGAGCTGTAAATTAAGGGGTGGGAAGTGTGATAAAATTCCTTAGAGAACGGTGAAAAAAAAAAAAGTCGAGCTGCAATGGTTAAATGAAATTTTATAAGCACATTCAGTGTGGAGCTGTTTTGCATTACATGAGTTGAATACCTTAGAGACGCCACATCTGCAGGCACTTTATTAAATCCTTAGTCAGCACTTTCCGACCTGATGAGATTACTTCTTCATTTGACTGGAGAGAAGGAAAGCTGGGCTCGGTCCTGGACTGCAGATTTCTTTTGATGTTTCACCTTGAACACTGAGAGAGGACAATTACCCCTATTCCTCCCCCCAGCACATCCCAAACTGTAGAAATTGTGACTTTAACAGAGTAATTTTGCTTAACTAGAGCCTTTGTGGGAGTATGGATTTATGGACCTCCAAAACTATGATAGCTGAAGGTTCCTGAGGAAAAAATAGATCAAAGCTCTGTGTTTACTTCCTTAATGTAAATGTATCAAGATAACATCATCCTATATTGTATGGTAATACTGGAACTCACTGCGGATAAGGGACAGAGAGATCCCTTTGTAGTCCATCTGGATACGTAGGTTAGATGAAGGGGCTGTAAAGTAGGAAGGCAGAAACCATATGAAAACATAAGCTTATGTCAATAAATGGCTGAAGACAATTTTTTGACCCTCCATAAATGAATTTTGTTTAATGTGGCAACATTTTTCCAGTGATTTGCTGCTCAACCCCAACAATTGAACCATCTCAGATTTCTTTTATATTTTTCTTGTATGACCCAAGAAGAAAATGCTCAAAATTTGTTCTTCAAGTAATGTTTTGAAACTTGCACTACTTGCATAATGGATTGTATAAGAAAATGTCACAAGAGAAAAAAATGGGGTTTTCCAAAGATCGTCGTGTCCATTTGATGTTATTAGTAGTTTGTGGAAGCTTACAGACATCGAGTGGCTTGTAAATATGCGACCAGCTCGCGCATCGTAACAGAATCAGGAGCATCTTCAGCTACAAACTGATCATGAGAAAATTTGGTCAAGTAGATGCGTTTTTATTATTATTGTAACTGTTTATCTGCTATCTCTGCAAATAAATGATTTAATCAAAGAGACCACATTAAAAAAAAAAAATTCCCTGTGTGGTTCCCCTAACCGACTGACTTCCTATTCTGGAAAGCCTGGTCAAGTAGCTGGGTTAATTGTCATGAAGATTAGTGTGATGTTGAAATAGTACTAATGGTCAAATTACAGGAGTGAAAAAGTTTAAGAATAGGTTTTGGTTGGGGCCTGAAAGGGTTAATTAAGTTTTTTTCACGGGTTATTAAAGACCCCCAACCCAAGCCTTCAGGAGTCATATTGACACCCCACCACAGGGCAACTCGCTCCTCTATTGACATGTTGCTGGTCAGAGCACAATAGCCTTCTGTGTCTGCAAATCATTGCTAAAATCATCTCAAGGAAAAAAAAAAAAGAGTTTGAAAGCTTTAACGTTAGACAAAAGCCCAAGAGCTGCAGTGCGCAGCTCAAAAACTCAGAGTCAGCAACTTCTATTGATTAAAAACTAACCTTTAAAGTAACTCTGAGAGTGTGTGGTTAGCATTTAAATTTAAACATGTCATGAGTTGATTTGTGTTACTGAATACCAACTCAGAAGGAGTAACATTCACATCGCATTTTTTTTTTCTAATTCCCTTAAGCAGCTAAAGTATTTCATGAAATGTCAATAGGGCAAAAAGAAAAAGGGGAGGGGGCCCGATGCTGGGCCTTGTAGTTTTCTTTCCCATGCAAATATTCACCCCCCCAAAAAGAAAAGTGTGGAGAGTGAAACACAATAATTAGTCCTTTGTCTAACTTTCCCAAGTGCCAGAGAAAGACAGATTAATTAAATATACAACAGTGTTGGTTTTTGGAGTGGGGGTCTTGCTTGCTGTGTAGGTCATAAATTAGGCAGAATAAATACTTCAATGTGTTTGCAGTGGGCCTGCTACGTCAGAGCCACTGGAAGGTTGGTGGGAGGAGAGCGGAGGGTTTCTTGCTAATGATAGTCACGTCTGGGTCTGTCTGGTTGCTCATAGCAACCAGACATGATGTAACACCAGGATGAACTTGAACTTGGGGGACTTGAAAAGAGAACAATAGACCAGAGCAATCAATAAAGCCTATTTCAGTGAAGGATTACAGAGCTGCTCTGGGGTAACCTTGTCGGCAAGGCACACACTGAATAGTAAGATGTGTGAAGAAACTTTTTTTTTTTGCTTTGCTTTTTAAGAGAAGTGCAGAGGCACTGCAGATTTTTGTAGTGCGCTGAGGTTGTGTCCAGAAACGGTGGTATGGAAAACTGCTCCCCCTGCTGACTCACTGGGTCCCAGGAGTTTGCTTCAAGAACTACTACACAGTATCAGATTTAAGAAGTCCAGAATTTCACAACTGATTTAGAAAGTATGAGGACAGAAATTGTAAGCATTATTCACCGCACCCAAAGTTTGAGACTGTTTTGTTAAAGAGAGAACTCAGCTCGAACGTGGATCGGAGTCAGCTCATAGGGGAGCCTACTAAAAGTTCAGTTTGGAGTTGGCCTCCCCTCTTTCTTTTCCCCGTCTTCTTTCTTTTGTCCAGTTAGATTTAGGCCATGTGTGTTTGCCAGGATGATTTCCTTTCAGGACACAAGAGGCTTTTTATTGTGTTCCTCAAAGCCTGTGGTCAAAGAATAACCTCGAAAAGTATACAGGATGAGTAGTTTTTCGGTTTAGGTTTAGGTTTTTTTCAAGTCCCCTGGAAATCAAAGGTAGCTTGTGTGACCAGGAAATCTTATACCAACCTCCATGTAGCTATCACTTCGCCATTTATCCCCAGGATCAAATGAGTCCTTACTTTACCTAATTGAATCTTTTGGATACGAATGAGCCTTCATCTGACTGAATCAACCCAAATGTAACCCTTTCTGATACTGTCAACTTAGATTTGAGAAGCATTCACTTTTGCTAGAAGTTGATGATTTTTCTGTGAATAATGATAAATGTGGTGAATTTGGCAGGATATCTCTAGAGAAAAGTTGGCAACAGCCATATACTTTTTTATTTCACTTGAGAAATTGACTCTGATATCAGACCATAATTGGTCACTTTGTTTAACTAACAGAAAAGAAATGCCAGCATATAAAGTGATATATAACCAGACTATATTGCCCAAAACTAATCACCTAAGATTTATGAAAGGAAAAGGTAACTGGTAACTGGGCCCAGCAGGCATGTGGAAGGAACAAAAATACGAATGAGGGTTATGCAGTGGCCTCATTTTTGTCCCTTGGGACATCGTTGTAGCTAACAGGGTGAAACCTTGATACCACTTGATCATTCTATGTCATTTTTTAATATATTGAGCTGAAAGGAGTATTTTATATCATCAAATCTACCTCATGCACATATGAGGAAACTAGGTATAAGAGAGATGCTATGACTTCTCCAAAATCACTCATGATTCTTGGTACAGCATTTTTTCCACTGTACCTCCATTTATTCTTCTATCATTATTGATCATCTGTGCCTGTTAAGAGACTGTCACAGCAACATCTATAGTGTCTACATTTCATGGAAAAGGAGATGTAGTGAAAATCATCACAGTACACATATACATAAAACCTCTCCCCTTACCCATTCTCCATTCATTCAGCTCCACTTTGTTGAGAACCTTCTATCCCAGGCACTGGGCTAGGCACTGAGGATTCAATGAAAAGCAAGATGGTCAAGTTTCCTGCGCTCCTGTATCTGTCCCCACCAGACTACAGAATCTGTATATGTATTTCAAGTGGACATACATACTTTATTTTGTAAGACCCACTGAGAACATTAGCAAACCCCAATGAAAACACTGAATTTCAATATTAGAGGAGTGAGATCAGTTTCAATGTCTCAAGATTTACTACTGTTGATCATTCCTTCACTTTTCCCAATGAACCTCCCACCACTCCCGCCTGCCCCCCACACACACACCTTATCCCTAACATTGATCCTGTTTTCACCGTTGGAAGGACAACTTCTAAATATGTCATTTTCTAAATTGTACCTCTCATTGCATTTTTCCTTTTGTCTTCCAGTCCTGGTACCTGGGATAAAAGTTGCAGCGTCCCACCATCCACCAGACAGACCACCTGACCCCTTCTCAACTCTGTAACATGGACGCATCCTCCACCCAGCGCGGTTACAACTTCACTGTCAGTGGAAGGGGAGAATCAAATCAACTTGTACATGGAACAGCAAGCATTATGGTCAAACAGCAAAGGCCATAACCTTTTGGGATTTTTTTTTTTAACTACTTTAGGGACTGTTGGAATTTTCTCATATGGTGCTGGAAATGGTTAGGCTTTGTAACCTTTGAAGTGTTTTCGTGGTAGCGTGAGCATTTGGTGGTGTGGCTAGAGGAGGTCTACCCTGGCTCACTGACTTCCGTCGTAACACACTTTCCTTACAGAGCCTGGCTGTTTCACAGTATTTCATGAGTTTACCCATACAGGTGTGAGCCTCCCTGAGCAACCAGGAGGCACATGGAGAACTAAATCTTTTGTAGTAGCTGAGATCTGCAATATAGAACTTACGGGACAGTCAAAGGGCAATGTTTTTCTGTAACATATTGGAAAAAGAAAATGCAGTTATGTTCCTTTTTTATTTTTTCTTTTAGTTCGGTTTGGTTCAGCAGTCAGCAGTTAAATGTATAACATGGCCCGCAAGGACAGTGAATCCACTCACATTGCAGAACACTTCCGAAAATGGCAAACTACTACTACTACTATTCAGTTTTTTAAAAGTTTTGAAATGCTGCACTTACATTTAAAAAAAAAAAACAAAAAAAAAACATTTTTTTTCAACAATTTCAATAATGACACACAAATTCACATGGAAATGGGGAAGATGGTCTGTTTTGACAGAAACTGACAGGAATCAATCAAAACAATCGAATTTTGAATTGAGTAAAGTGCAATTTCATTGGATAGCTAAATATCTTTGTAAGATAGAGATTGTTGAAAATTCTATTTTTGTTTTTCAAGTCCTTCCACCCCAGGACTCTAAATTATTGGGGTAAAAAATAGCCTTGCAAGAAAAAGGGGAGCTATTTTTGCTTTTTATGTTTTTTATTGTTAAACTTGTATCCCTTTAAAACTGAAGGAAAATTTAAAAAAAAAAACAAAAAACAAATCTAATGGTGCTTTTACCACAATACGTTAACTACATTAAATGCTAATTAATTATTTTCTGTTATCAAAGCACATAACTAAAATGAAGTCATGGTATCTGTTAATTTTATAAGCTAGAAGTCACTATAATGGATTATGCCAATTCTGAAAATTTTTACATGTATCCGGCAACATAGGATTTATCAGTTATCAGATGCTTCATTGTACCAGAGATTGTCCAGAAATTTTAAAGACCTTTGCGCCCCTGAACTGGGCTATGGGAAAAAAAAATAATAATAATAATAATAATGAAACCAATACTGACACAAATGCTGGTGCCCATTCAGATCAAGGGTACTTGTTAGGGAAAACAAAGTTTGCACCCCCAAATGTCCTGTATCTTATGTAAAAAAAAAAACCACAAAATACCACAAAAAAATAACAAAAAAAAAAAGTGCAAGTGATTTTTCTACCAGACAGCGAAGCACCCCTTTGCTTCCCATGCAACTTCAAGAAGGTTTCCTATACTATACATATATATACGTTCTGGTTGGCAAACACTGCTGATCAGAGAAAGTCTCTGCATGTTCTAGTGTTAGTAACTAATTTTTATATAGTTAATGTAGGATAAAGTAGAGTGCATTAAGACACAATATTGTAATCCCTACTCTAGGCACTTGCCTTTAAACTATGTTTTCAGCCCTTCAGAAGGGTTCTACTACTGTCCTATACAATCAAGTAACTGAGATTCTTGGGAAGACACTTTGCTCCTCATCTTTCCCCCCGAAACAATGTTGTTTTGTTTTGTTTTTTTTCCTTAATTTGCACGAAGACAAAAATTCCATATCAATGTGCCTTGCCCTGGATAGCGATTATTTGTGGAATTGTTGCACACGCTCCTCTATTGAAAGGGGTTTTTCCCTAGTCAAGCATTTGGAGACACTTTTTGTAAATGTGACTTTTATGTCAGCCATCGTCAGTTTCAACATCTAGAACTAAATAGAAAGTTAGTTGTTCCGCAGATAGGAGTAGTCTTTATTGTCCTCTGTGGTCAGTGGCAGTGCTATTCTGAGATCTGTAGATGCTTAGAATATCAGTATTTTGGATGTTGCTGCATTTTACAATTTATTTGGAGTCTTCCTTTATTCCCTCCCCCAGATATATGAAAATATGCAATACCTGCTTATATCGTGTAGAAAAGCTTAGCGATTATTAATTTTTTCTTTTATTTTTTTTATTTGACCAAAGTCGGTGCTGCACTTGACGCAGTGTGTTTTAGGTGTTTGTCTTTGTACTTTTTTTGTGATTTTTTTGAATGCACGTGCGCAGGAAGGGCTCCTCTTAGAGAAGCAGTCAAACTGTGAAGCACTAAGCTGACCCTGCTTCAAGCAATTTTGTTTTTACAACTGTTCCTTTCACAAGCAAGCCTTAAAAAAAAAAAAAAGACAACTTCCTTTTTCTTCAGCTCCCACACCCATTTTTCTTAGCAGACTGCAGTCAATCCACGTTCAATAAAAAGTATATAATGCCCATTTTTATATGCACGTTTTTAAACTTCCAAGTTCTGAAAATTGTTTACTGGTTATCTCTATTTAAGGAAAAAAAAATAAAATAAAACATTTTGGATTTTCATATGTGTCTGATAAGTGGTTGAATAGTCGTTTGGCGCTGTTGTATGGTGTGATTGTCAGTATATGGTGTCACTTCCTATAGCCAGCCAGCATACTTTGCCTTCCCCTATAGCACTTAGCTGGGCATTACTTTATTATGACATATGTGCACTAAAAGAAAGAAAAAAGGAAAAAAAAAAAAGAAAAAAAAATAGCAGCTTTCAGTGCTTCACAGTGAAGGGAAAAAAGCCTAGACAAACATTTTGTCAGAACCTTGCGATAAGCCAAGGTATTACCAGTAAATTGGTTGTATATACAATAAAATTGCACCCTTTTTTTAAAAACAAAACAAACTAAGCAATAGTTTGGGCAGTTTTAGTTGTTTTTAGTGAGCATGTTGTAGTCATGACTGCAAAGAGAGAGAATAAACTGCCCACTCAGAAGATATGTAATTTGTATTGTTGTATAGTTTTATTGATTACACTGATTTATTCTACCCTATTTTATAATGCAGGACTTTTGTAATGTTGTTTAAATGAGGAAAAATTTCTGTCAAATTAGTCTAGTGAAACTTCCAATTGTTCATTATAAAGGCAGCGTTCATAGAATTGCTTTTCTTTCTTTCCCAACCCCCTTTGGGAACTGGATTTAAGTTTAAAACTCTCCTGTTTCCTTTTTTTTTTTTTGTAAGTATTTAAATACAGTTATTTTTTCTCTCAATGGTATAGCATATTCCTATGCTTGAGAAGCATAGGTCTACTGAAAAACCATTGTAAATGGACGTTACAGGTATGCTGTATTTTTGAAGGTATTTTGTTGTATTAAGTTTGATGAAGCTAAAATTAGGGAACTCGGAACAGATTTGCAGGAAAAAAAATGTTTTAAAGGCTTTAAAACATTAGGGAGGCAGTCTAGGGTGATAATGAACAGGGGTTAAGTATTAAATACACTAAGTTACATTTTTGTTCATGTTTCATTGTCCAGAAAGCAGCAGGAAACTGTAGTTCAGTTGTGATCAAGCAGGAAAAAAAGAAACACCAACTATCTGAGTGTTTACCTTTTTAGATTAAAAGCCAAGCGAAGAAGTTTGAGGAAGACTTTGGTACCTGGGGTGTGTAGACTGACAGACTGAGAGCTATCAGCATTTGAAGGCCCAGCCCTTGATTTTGAGACACATCTGAATTTTTTCTCTTCCATCAAATGGCATTAAAACTATTGGCAAAGATAAATCCCTCAAGTCACTCTTCATGTTTTTTCTTTGGGAACTGAAGTCAGAGGCACAAACACTAAATCTTATCATTTTTCTATATACTTTTTTTTTTCCTGGCCACTAAAATGCTCCTTTCCTAATCCTTGATGGCAGAGGCCCTCTCCCTAATGCCACTCTATCCATCCCAGAGCCTTTTTCTTTCCTTTGAAGTTTGAACTAACTTTTCTGTTTCTTCACACCCTGGCATGACAGTTATTTTGTGTCAGCTCCTCCCCATCCCAACCCCTTAGCCAGGTGTTGGCTCCAGGCAAGCCGACAGGTACATTTCCCGATGCTTGTATTCTTCACTCTCTGACAGTTGAAATGTAAAGGAACCCAAACTTTCTAGAGTCATGGTATTCAGTCAGCCCACAGGAATATGCAAAACCCATCTCAAAAAGTTTGTCTTTCACTTTTCAAACCTTTATCCCCATATGCTTTGAATTCTGTAGTAACAGTGTCATAAAATATTGAGAAAATCTGGATTAAAGAAAACATTTCTTCCTTGAGATTTTTTTTAGGGAGGGAGGGGTTTCTAAGAATGTCATTTAATGTACTTTGCATCATGTCTCTGGAAATATCTTTTTGTCTGTGGTGGTGGTGGTGGTGGTGGTGGTGGTGGTGGTGGTGGTGGTGGTGGTGGTGGATTCGCTCTATATCTTTCTTTACTTCCTTTCTTTTTTTCTTTCTTTTTATTTTTTTTTCCGGTAGCAGGCCTCCATAGAACAAATTTAAAACACAACTGGCATGGTAATGTAAGGAGAGCTTCAGTGGCACCTCACCACCCACCCTCCGAGATCTGTCATTGGACGGTCTCAGAAAGCTGCACTGCCCACCGGCAGAGCTTTCATTCAAATTGGCTTCCAAGGCCAATTTCGTCCTGAAGTCAATGCATGTATTTACTGTTTGACAGTAAACTCGCTCTGCCTTCTCCACGTCCAAGGCTGTGCATTCGTCTAATTAGTGTCGTGTATGTTTTCCTTTTATTTTATCCAATAAAAAAGCAGTGGGATGAAAATTGCTTTGATATATAGCAGGTAACATTGAAGCTATTCCATAGCACTTAACTGTAGTGAATACTGTGTCACCAATTCTGAAATCAATTTAATGTTTAATGCAAATCCATTACATGGTGCTATTACAGGCTGACAAAATGATTTACACAAATGTGACAACTTGGGCTCAATTCACTCTGCTTTCCAACAGTGTAAATGCATAGCAGTGTTTATCTGCATGAGAACTATGCACTAATCTATCTGAAGAAAAAAAAAAAACTATATCAACTTTGGTATCTACTTTCCGTTTACTTCAATCCTTGCCTTTTTGGTCATTGTTATAATGCCAGCTTTAGGACAGAAAGAATTATAAGAAAACCAGCATAATACCTGATATATTAAAATGTAGTGCCTGTGAAATCTGTATTATATTGCTCTTCTGAAGTAAGATTTTTCTACACCGGTAGCCTTCGCTGTCTGTCAGTCAGGACCTTCTGGTATAGGTGATGTAAAATAACCGTACAATATTAATGCATGCTATTCCATAATGCTTAGTGAACTGTATGAATATTACTCAAAGTTATGTTAGTCTTTTTTTCTGACTTGGTTCTTGTCAGCTAGGTTTAAAGGTATTTCACTGAGAACGCAAATTCTGTCTTTTCTTTATTTCGGCTGTTTTCAGTATTTTGGAGGTATACATTTACTTAAATTCAGTATTACTTGTGTTTTTGTTTTCGTTTTTGTTTTTTGTTTTCTTTTTCCTAGGGGACAAGCATGGGTGTTTGATTTCAGAAATCAGTCCCTGGCAAGACTTTTGTCTAAAAACGACCATTTCAATTTCAAGAACTCTGCTACAAAGACACTCTGAGAACATTTCCAAGTGAGGGACATTTTCCTTGACCCTCAACTGAAACTATGCTGATTCTGAAGCATTTTCTTAATGGACAGTGTTCAGCCAGGTACCCATGCTTGATCCGTCTTCACACCAGACTTCCTCATATTAAAAGAAAAAAAAAATGAAAAAAAATCTTTAAGAAATCACTTGGCTATTTAGTTTCATGCACAGTTGCAATATTTTCTTCAAAAAAACAAAAAAACAAAAAAAAACTCTGTACAAATTTTGGGCCCGATTCATAAGAAAAAGAAGTTTGCTATTAACACGGGATTTTTTTAAATATACCTTTTTTTTCTCTTTGGTCTAAATTTGAAACTATTTCCCAAATTAAATAAATTTCATCTCATTTTTTTCCCCCTAAACCAGCAACCATCTGTGTTTTATGCCCGAAAGGGTCACATAACCAGATTAGGGGGACAGGGAAATGGGGAACAGATACCGGAAATGCTCAGAAAGCTAAAGGTGACCACCTGCAGCTGAGCATGAGAACAGGGAGGCAGCAGCATTTGGGGGGCAGGACCTCATTTGTGTGCCAGGCATCACGAGTTTCACATGTGGAACCCTTATGCTTTTTAATTCAAGAACATAATTTCTAAAATGTGTCTGGACCACAAGAGAGTGTGGCGGAAGTGCCACTTCTAGTCCAACCAGAACACCAGGTCACGTGATAGGAACTTTTGTGTCTCTATAGTGGTTCTAAGGACAGTGTCCAACAAATTGGGCTGTTTTTTTCCTGCTGTTTTTCTGCTTCTCAAAATGACAGAACCTTTTTTTCCCCCTTTTAATTCTATTTTTTAATTTTTATTATGTTTTAGTAATAGTCTATGAATGAGCACTTTTTTTTTTTTTTTTAACATCTCAACCCATGGTCACAAAGGCCACTGGCGGGCTACTTTGGGATGGAGATTGGAGGGGGCTCCCAGCTCCATTCTTTCTCCCTGGTCTCAGACCATCCTCTTTGCACTGCGAAGGCATGTGGTAGTTTCACCACTGAGATACTAACTAAACCTAGAGCCAGAGCTTTATCAAGTTCTAGGCGGTCCTTAGGGAAGACTTTCAAAGGCAAAAACACGATGCCCCTCCCCTACAGCCCTGACCTCTCACCCAGATCAAGGTTCACTGGGGACTTTTCTCACTACCCTTGGAAATCTGTCCACTCAAGATACCTCGGTTTTACATTTCAAATTGTGGGGGGAGAAGATTGAACACTTCCAATGATAAGATATTCGTTGTGAAACTAAACACCCCCGTGTTAATAACTTGGTTTGACGTTTGTTTTTATGAGCCGGGCCCCCTGTGCCTCTAGAATACTTGTGTTGACTCTCATAGTTACCCTTTTAGTTTTACTGTGTTCTGTGAAAATTTGTAATTGGTTGAGAATCACTGTGGGCGTCCATTCTTATTCAACTAAATCTCCACAGGTTTTTTGAGCTGGTGTGGATTAGTTTAACTCTTGTATTCAACCATTAGTGCTACCACCTTCTCACATTACAATACAATTACTGGAAGCAAGTACTGCATTTCCTATGCAACAAAAAAGGAAAAATAAAAAATTGCTAATGCTATGGAAGCTGTGTCATCATTTGCTTTCAATCATGCCTGGGTGGTTGTACTTGATTGGCAATTATGGGTGTGAATTGGAAGTTCCCCCAGAAGACCGGCTTCCTGCGCCACGGAGTTCGTGTTGTCCTTGATGGGTGTCAGGCACATCTCGCCCTTCACAGAGTTCTAGTGGGCAGTAATGTGGGGTTTTTTCACCTACTTAGACAAATATAAGAAGTACCAATCACATAAGTGCTTAGTATATGCCTGATATTGTTCTAAGCGCTTTAGATAGTGTATCAGTTAAGGCCCAGTCGGGAATCAGGAATAGGGTTCAGTTG